TGGCTCTGTAATTACCTTGGACTCATTTTGCACTCGCTAGTGGAAAGCTGAAATCGAAAGCCGCCAATCACTGCGGTATGTCCTGACAAATTCTGCTGCATAATTGTGAAGGTCAACTCCTTCAGGTTTCCCTTTGTTCCTCAACTATTCGGTATCACCGAGTCGCGTGGCGTAAACGCCCTCATCTATCACGATGGTATTGTGCACTCCCCTGTTTTCAACAAAGGGGAGTTAACATCAACTACGACAGAGTTCATAACCATCGCCCAATTCCGGCAATTGCATCATGGATCACCTTTAGTTTCAGAATATATTGAATACCAGATGGTGCATATTTTTCTCCAACCCATTGAGTACTACTCAACCGAATCACAAAGGGGCGGGATGAGGCTGTAGGCTATCAGTCAACCCCGACGCTACAACGTTGACCGCTTTGGAAGCGTGCTTGGTCCTACGCTCGCCCCTACACTCATCTTATCCCTCAATACGAGTCTCGACAGGGCGTCTTTGCTACCATGATCTGGGACTTCAGTCGGACGGTTGTCTTTCACGGCGCATATCAGTGGATTTGATTCCGTGGGAGATGTCAGTAACGCCCAACACCAGAGACATCGAACAGCAGCTATTTTCACAGATGGACGTGTGCGATATCCATGCCATGTTGATGGCCCTTCCCTCATACAGGCGCATCGAGCTCTCCGTCCGTGATCATATTCCCCTTGGAAAACTGGAGACTGTTAGCGGAGATTTCCACGTCCATTTCCCGAATGTAGAACTTGCGAAGATCGAACTCCGCGTTGAGCCTTGGATAGCTCACGGCGCCCCCATTGAAACTGATATTACTGCTCTGGACACGCAATGGACACGGTATGTTCTGGTTTGTTTGCTGCACTGTGCTGACACAGCACCAGGATAGTAGTGCCGGCGGGATCCGAAAAAGAAGTAAATTTTGTCAGCTATAACTCGATACCTGATGCCCGGTACATGAGGAAATCCTGGATCTCTCAAGCTCTTCGCCTACTCGAATCTGGGATCGGTGTGTTGATTCTCTGCTTGCATTCCCCGAATTGACAGCCTGTAGTCACCGGCGTGAAGCTGGACGACCTGCTTCTTATCGATGCCGTTTACCTATCGATGCGACTCCACTACCCTGCACAGAACACGGATCCTCCATCGAAGCTGCCATATCTGTTTGTATCCTCGCCGGCAGCTCGTTTCGAACAGGATGGGACGGGTTGGATGACATTCTACCCCCAGATCAGCGCTATTACTGGTCTTTCGATCCCTTGGGAGGCGACCGGTTGCGAGAGGATCTCCCTGGTCATCTCTCCTTCCCCAAGTAACCTTTGAAGTCGACGTCTATGGTTGTTCATGGACCACGGCCCAGTACGATCTCCTCCGGAAATTCCACGAAATCAAGGGCGTCAATTAGCATTTCACACCAGGACCTTGTACCGAGTATATTGCAAGTCAACGATTACCCTTCCTTTCAACTTCCTCACTATAAATTCATAGGTTCTGTCATCGTAGAGTCGTTTTCAGAATATTGATCATATTGCTTTGTTCCCTTGAATTCGTGGAGACGGAGCTGCCCCTACTGTGCGTTTTGGTTGAACTTCATCAATCACGCTGCCCTCTTTCTGAACCTGATGTCCGACTTCCGCGGCAGCCCCGCCCCTAGTCCAAAAACTCCGGAGTCGTTGCCGATTGAACTCCAGCTTACTTTTAATCTATATTCTCCTTTGGGCCCTTTGGGGCTTTCTAAATAAGCAAAGTTATATTAATATTGCCTGTGCTAATGCAGCCCTTGTACACTCGTACTACCAAGGGCACGCAGCCCCCGCCTATGTACGTCCGCGTCCGCAACAACCATCCCCGCTCATACACGTCGCCGCCCGTACATGCGTGCCGACGCCAAGTGCATCCCATCCGCAACCGCGTAGCCGCCCCGGTCCCCCCCGTTGCGCGTAACCCTCTGCTTACGCGTCACCCCCCGTGCCCACGTCCACAGGCCCCATCCACGCGCTCGTACACGCGCCCGCACCCCCACGAGTACGACGTTCTCCCGCGCTTCGGGCACCAGCAGCCGCCGACGCCAATTCTCCGCATCCGTACCGCGCCAACGCCGTGTGATCCCCTGCGCCGGAAGCCTTCCCGCATCCGTTCCGCGAGCCACAACGCTTCCGCAAGCCATAACGCGCCTCGCGGCTCGCACAGCGCTGCACTCCGCGTATCACACCCACATCGAGATAAAAGAGTACAGAAACTCGCGCAAACGACAAACGAATGGGGAAGGGGAAACGGAACAAGGAATGGAAAGAAAAGGCGTGTGATATAAAAGAAGGAGCGGAACGTGGAAGAGTCCGCGATGAGAGGTGCGGGGAAGAGTACAAGGGGTTATATAGCGTAGAATGCGGGGCGGGGTGGGTGGGTCGAAGGACAGGAGAAGGGGGCGACGTGGAAGGAGCCGGCGAGGAGAGGCACGGGAGGGCGGGTCCGGAGAAGGGAGGAAGGGACGAGAGGGGGGAGGTGATGAAGCTGCGGAAGGGATGCGGGTGAGGACTCGGAGGAACGACGAAGGAAGGGAGTACAGGGGAGGGAAGGACGGTGTTGATTTGCGACACGCACATCGGACGTGGCACAAGGCATGCGGATGCGGACGAGGACGATTGGAAGGGGCACGACGCGAATGGAGAGAACAGCGTGGACGGGCGGGATGCAGACGAGCATGACAGGGGAGGAAGGCGCGGACGACGCGGAAAGGACGTGCATGGGGAGGGATGGATGAGGTGCAGTACCGGTCGACGGAAGGGAACGCGGGGAAGAACATAACAAGAAATAGAATTGATAGACGGGAAGACGCACTGAATAGCAAGGTTTTTCTCACCCTTCTCCGGAATCACCGTCTTCCCGCAACCGAGCAGCGAACGCGCGCTCGATGCCATGCAGAGAGCGTGGGGAGGCGCAGGACTTGGATCTAGGAGGAGTGTCAGCGAGTGGGCGGAGGGAATGAAGGAAGGGGGTATGGGGAGAAGAAAGGACGAGTGAGGGAAAGAAGAAGCGCGGGGATAAGACGGCGGCGGGCACACCGCCTCTACACCGGCGACGCAGGACAGCAGGACGCGCAAGCACGCGCTGCGGAAGGAAGGAGGGGTACGATGGCGTGGATAAAGCGGTGCGGGCAGGAAACAGCAGGAAACGTAGGCGCGAAGGATGAAGGACAAGAACGAAGGAGTAGGAATAGAGAGAGAACACACCTTACGCTTGTCAGCACTCAACACAATCGCCGCGCCCGCAAGTCGAAGTGCCCGCAGAGCAGGACGGTCTTCTGATGCGGTCCAGGATGGCGTTCGAAAGCGCCTGCCTGTCCATGACGTGCGTGCCGATCTGGGCGGCGTCGTCCTCCCAGTCATCGCGCACGGGGATGGCGGCGCGCGCAACGGGCGGGGCGGGGCGGGGCGGGGCGGCGTGCGGAGGTCTGCGAACAAACGAGGTAGCGCTCGATAAGCGTGTCCGGACTCCGGATGCGGCCAGAGGGACGCACAGATTGCACGGGTTGGTCCCAGGTCATATTGTGAGCGACGGGTTAGTGAAGCGGTGGGCGAAGACAAGGCCGACGGAAGGAGCGCGGAGCCAGATGTGGCGGACGGAATCAGAAAAGCGGAGAGGTGTTTGGTCATATTGGGCGCGCAGGCACGTGGTGGACAACAACTTGACAACAACCCCGACCGCAAACCACCTTGACATTGAACTCAGACTGGCCTTATCGACCGTAGAAATTCTGGGGAACTATTGTAGGGCTAGGGAACTACCTCTGTGTCCTATCGCCTCACTCCCTGGCGGCCGCGGCTCCGACTTGGATTCGGGTCTTCCTCGACTCGCTGGCAGCCTGAGAACGTCAATTGCCCACAAAACAAACTCACTCCTTCACACTGCAGTATATAAATCTCTGCACTCTGTCCACCATTGAAAAAAACCAGTTTTTCAGTACAGCTCGTCTCGATGCTATGCTGCAGATATACGGCCCTCGTTTGTCTTTCTCTCGTCATGGCAGACTGCACTGTCGGTCGATATGCATATGCATTCAAGGATGTGCACACGCAACCCGAAGAAGGCCCGGTAGCGGATGGTCCGCCCCCGCATTAAATAGCTTCAACTTCTACCCACTCTGTATGTCGCTCGTTCGATCCGAGCCCGGGCCTTGTCGTGGTACCAAGACAAATTCTTTCTCCTTTTTCCACACGACGATACCCATCCAATTTCGTGTCTATGCGATACCAGGAAAGCCCGGTAGCGGATGGTCCGCACCTGCATTCAATAATTGGGATACTGTGTTGTCGCAGGTGTTGCTCGTTCGAATCGAGCCCAGGTCATATTTCGGCGAGTTTTTTTTGCCTCCTTGACTCGTTCCCTGCGAAATAATGCTCATACAATTTCGTACGCGGGGAGTAAAGGAAAGGCCCGGTAGCGGATGGTCCGTCCCTGCATTCCATAGCTTGCATATATCGAACTTCTGTAGGAGTCGCTCGTTCGATTCGAGCCCGGGTCTTGGTCGTGGATTGGTTTCTTTGTTTTTTGCCGCTCGGGGATGCCTGTCTAATTTCGTGCTCAGGTAACACGAGAAAGGCCCGGTAGCAGATGGTCCGCTCCTGCATCCCATAATTCCTCAGACTCCATGTCGCATGAGTCGCTCGTTCGAATCGAGCCCGGGCCTTGATCATCGAGATACGATTTTTTTCTCTTGGCCTTCATATGGTCCTCAGTAATTTTTTTTCGCCCCCTCTTTCCTCGAAACAATGCCCATCTAATTTTGTAAGCACGGGAATACCGGGACGGCACGGTAGCGGATGGTCCGCATTCCCTATTTTGGATATCTTGGTATTCCTAGAAGTCGTGCGCTCGAATCGAGCCCGGGCCGTGGTGTGGCACTGAATCCGATTTCTTTCTCCTTCTTCCACACAAAGATGCTATCTAATTTCGTGCCAAGGTGATACAGGGAAGGCCCGGTAGCGGAGGGTCCGCGCCTGCATCCCATAGTTCGGGCACTTTGCGGTCTCTGCAGGAGTGGCTCGTTCGACTCGAGCCCGGGCCATATTTGGGTGTGTCCGCATCTTTTTCACCGCTCTTTCCTGTGCAATAATGTTTGTCTAATTTCGTATGTAGGTGATATGAGAAAGGCCCCGTAGCCGATGGTCCGCACCCACATCCTAACTCGCCGTTCCGCAGGCGTCGCTCGTTCGAATCCAGCCCGGGCCTTGCCGTGGCACGAAGTGCACTTCTTTCTTTGTCCGTCTCGAGAATGCCCATCTAATTTCGTGCGCAGGTGATATCAGATGGCCTGCTAATAGATGATCCATCCATACTTGTCCGAGTGTCTTGGCCGAATGGCTTGCCCAGCAAGTCGGAGTTTGAATTTGGCTGGGGGGGCTTGTGCGGCTTGGGCTTGTGAGAGCTTGTGAGTGGCTTGGCTTGTGCCCCACTACACCCAACTTTTACACTATATCTATTCCTTCCAAAACCATCATCCAGTGTATCATGGTCGCTGTGTTCCTCCCCCATAGTCTTCGGAATGTTCCGGCCTTCATCACCGTCATGATCAGCGGCCGAAACATACCGACTCAGCCTCACACCGACAATTAACATATTTAGGGCCCACCCAGGTGCAATTTGAACACCCAAGTGTCGAGTTGCAAGTAGGTGGGCCTGAAATTTAATTTACTTCTAGTACTTTCGGTCCCACTGATTTTGTAACCTAAAGGAGTAGAATAAAATTATGATTCAGGTGCCCTGAAATCCATTCGAAAGCCTACGATTCAGATTACACAAAAGTTCAACTGAAATTGAAAACCAAAATTATGGGTATCGGGATTGGAAACGGGGCGCCCAAGACTCTGTCTCTCAATTGCACCGAAATCAAAGCCAGAACTCAAAATGTTGTTTCTCATTTCAGCCGTCCCGAAACCTATTAAAATCCCGAATTTCGGTTTGAATTTCAGCTCAAGCCGAAATGCAAACCGAAATTAAAGGTTCCAAGTGTGCTGAAATTTAGTCCATGGACGGACCAATGTTTGGGAGATCATTCAGCACAATGTTTTGCGCTATCAAACAAAGGCCTACATGTTGGGAATGAGTGGAAACAGCTTCGCCCAATTTCCGTGATGTTTTGATGGTGCGACGAATATTTTCCGGCGAGATGCCGAAAACGGCACAAAACGGGGTAACCGACCACCCGCTCAAATCCTTCTATAAAGCCGGAACTTGTGGCCTCTGTGTAGCCCAAATGAGTCATGGGATATAATGGCATAACTTAACACGAATGAATAGTCAATCTAAACTATATATGTGGTAGGGGGATTTGAGTCCAGGGCTAACGTGGATGCACGGGAAGGGTGTTGCGGCCTCGCAATGGACTGGGGGCACGGAGAGCTGAAAAAACGGTGCAGAGGTATTCCTGGGACTTATTTGAGCATACATGAAGACACAGTCCCCCTTCTGCATATCAGGATATCTCGCAAAAAATCTGTATGTGCGTGCAACCAAAATGGGGAGGTATCCATGAGTAGGCCACTATGGGCACAGAAAAGAATGAATCCAAAGTAACAGACCCTATGAGAAGAAGGTTTCGTTATTGTTAGACAACTGAGCCCGGCCCCAGGTCTGTCACATCCATGGGTCGTACAGTATCGGGGTGGCCGTATAATGTCCCTCGACATCCGCTCGAAGTCCTGTCGAGAGTTGCAGGGAATGGCTGGGAATGGTTGCATGGCGAATCACATCTCCATTTTTTGCCCAGATCCAGGGGGTCAGAACAAGGCCCAGAGCTCGCAAATCGGCCAAGAACTGGTGGAGAAATGGCCGTGGGCACCGCTCGGAGTTAAGAAACGGCTATTCCCACCCTTCGGCAGCGGATCGAACTTCCCGTAGTTTTTGATCACCGCATCAGTTTGTGTTGATATTGGGTACGGACCACCGTTCAAGGTCGTATTCCATCCCAGAAGTTCAAAGTCCACCAAATCTCAAGTCCCAGTCTTGATATAATGTAAGTGGTCGGTTTCCTAGTTTGGTCGGTTTCCCAGTCGGCTATAGTAATGTCTACAAGGTATGGGCAATGGCGAGCTGACTTTTTGTCATTTGTTGCAGCCACGAGTGATCATTCCACTGCACATCTCTGTGAAAGCACAGTACTTTGATGTTGAACTCTTCCCTTATTGGATAAATTTCGGGTAAAATCCCCCTTTAATCACTCACATAAAGAATTTATAAGTCGGCCTTGCACGCATTATTTTTCTCTGGTACAACCAGGGGAATTCCAACTTGAACCCATGAGGGTCCAAATGCACATTTAATATTCCGCCAACTTTTTTGCATTCCCCCAACTTTTTAAGTGTCTTTTTGGTATTCCCCTCCTTTTAACGCTACTTTAAGCGGCCAGAAAAAGTTGGGGGAATGCTGATTTCCCCCAACTTTTTCTTGGTGCAACGCGAGTTCCCCCAACTTTTTTGTTGAGTTCCCCCAACTTTTTCCTAGCAGTTCCAGCACCTTTCACATATTGTGATCAGAGAAAGCTCACATTTTTCACAGCCACCAGGAGCCTCTGATTGGGTCCTAGAAGCGTGTCAGTCATGTCGCTTCGGCCCAGTCACCGAAGTCACCGGTGGAGCAGTGGCCTAGAGCCCCTCCTCCTCGGACGTGTGTAGTTGTGTTTGGCTGTAGTATGATCATGTGAGGCATCACGGCTTGTCTGTAGCCACCGCTATCCGTATGCCTGCGACCCCATACGACCTGACCAGCCCTCCCGGGCTAGTCCACCGGAGTCAGACATCCACATGACCGTGCCGCTTGGTATATTTTGCAGACACTGTTTCTGTGAAGCAAATATTTTATGCAATGCAATATTCCTTGTAGCTCCGGACCCCCAGGTGTATTTTTAAATATAGAACCCTTCAGTTAGGAGGTACTACAGGTGAGACGACCAAATTGCGACAGTAATACATGTGCATCGTCACAGGTGGTGCCGTCTGCTGGAGTCCAGTGGACGGACACCGGGGTGGATGCACATGATATATCCTATCTTCTTCAATTTTCTACCGGCTTGCTACTCTTACAGTGACCCAAACCATTGTGGAGTCACACCGAGCAACTATGTACAACAACACTTGTAATCCACATCTCAGTTTGTGATGCTGCCAGTTTCAAACAATAGGACCGGTGATACATACGAAAGGTGCTCTCATATTGGGTCTCCATCCATCTCCAACAGGCGTTGGAGTGGGGTTGAAGTTGGCTCGGGCTGGTCGGATCTGCTTATCAAGCCTCATAGGTGCTCCGGACACCTTTGCAAAATCTAACCACACTGTCATGAGCATAACAGGCTTCAATTGCTCAGCAAGGCAATTATCAGGCATGGCGTAACATTCAATGTATTACTGTTTCAGATTCTGGAGTATATTGTTGAACACTACTAACAGTGATTAAGGGTGTTGACTGTGTGAAAGGATGATACATAGAAAAAGTAATGCTGATCCTGTTCCTGAAAGATTTAGGAGAATTCTTCATGGCGCCCCCCATGTGCTGCATCTCTATTTGTGAGAGCATTGAAGCGGATACGTGACCTGTCCAGATTCAGACTCACATGGGAATAACATCCGGGGGATGGATAGGTAAGGGTGGAAGAGTAGCTAGTATCGAAATGGACCTCCTTTAATGTTACAAGTACTTATAGTAATCGTTATTTAATCAATTGAGATGAGGTTTTCCAGGTCTTGGTAAAAAGTGTCCCATCTCAAGATTGCAATGCAAAATAGGGGCTGTGCTATTGTATTTAGTTGCTGTGTTGAAGGCATGATAATGGCTGTCCTTTAAATCTGCTTCAAATTTTGTGAAGACGTAGTGGCTGTGTTCCTGCTTTGTAATTAGGTGCCAATCGTCGGCTGCGTTCGAATACCGCCAAGTGTCTTCCTTTTTTACACATTTTCATCCTTGCCTCTCTCGCGCACTTGCCAAGATCTTTTTGAGCGGAACATTTTCGAAATGCTTTCTTTTTGCCCCCATACAATTTTCAGTGTGCAAATCGACCTGTTACTTCTGGTTTGCATTAAAGTCTATATGGCTGTGTCTATCTGTTTGGTCTCGGCGGATTTCCCCGCGGCCCTCCACCCTTCCAGATTCATAAATTTAAGTCAGGTCAGCCTACCATTGTGTATATCAGATATACATGCCTACCCAAAACTGGCCAGTGTCCGGCCATGTACCGCGCATTCAGGTCATACCCGCAAAATCTGTCGTGGACACGTGCAAATTTCTCACGGTGGTTATGCTTCGCTGAGTTGATTTTTTTCTGTGGTCACAGATCTCGGCTAGTCTCTAACAACTTTAACCAGATGTTCTTTAATGTGACTTTAATCATTGGACCAACTAGTCCTGTGGTTACCGCGCTGTCACAGTAGGCGACCAGGCTTATGATGTAAGCAATCCGTTTGGGGAAGAGTCCGGAAGACACGTGTCCCATCAAACACGACAACAACCGTCAACCTTCCGGACACGACTTTGTGTACTCGCGCATGGCACCGTCGCGAGGCCGGAAATGGCAAACCGAACGTGGTCGTACGACCATACAACAGATTGTCGCAATGAAGATACCTCAATGGGCTGGTGGTCTTCGAGACTGGCAAGTCACTGTCATCGCCTGGATCCTCGACGGCGAGGATGTTCTTTGCATCACTGCGACAGGTGACGGCAAATCAGCCCTCTTTGCTGTCCCCATTCTTGTACTTCTTGAGGTTGCTAAGAATCCCGCGACGTACCCGGGGTTCTGAAATGCAGCTACTGCGCGCACATGGCGCATCGTGCGCGGATCGGGTACACCGGATATCCGGTTGTAAAATATCACCTCGAGAAAATGAGCAAAAGAGTTAAACTCCTTTCCAATGGTAAGTAAAATTTCGTCTGCCTTATCCCATACATTTCGCCGCTTGGCTCTGAGCCTGGGCTGTGTCGACGGGACGTTGGCGGTGGCAGGAGTAGAGGCGGACGAGTTATTTGTTCGAGGAAATGAAGCTGCACCAGAAGATAAGTCGACGAAGATTTCTCTTC